GCCTTCGCGAAGGATGCGGGGGTGGAGCTGCCAGCCCCGCCTGCGGGTGCCGCGGGCGTGGGGTCAGTGGCGCCCGTGGTGGGGGCTGCCTGGGCGGTCTTCTTGGCCCACTCGGCACTTGTGGACTGCTTCTAGTCTATGGAGGGATTGGTCACGGAGCAGATCACCTTGGGCAGGGCGCGTCCGAGTTTCGCCAAGGCCGAGCTTCTCCTTTTACTGTGCATCGACGACTGTATCGGCTTGAAGCTGGTGAAGGATGGGGAGGACGTGGACCTCGAGGTCACAAAGGGCCACGTGCGGAGCTATCTGAACGCGAAGGGGCTCGCCGTGCACAAGGAGGAGGCTGGGGAAGGACTGCGACGCGGGCTTGGGCTTACCATATCTGGACGGCCCTATACGTTGAAGGTCTACCCCGAGAAGATGAAGGACCTGATCATCTGCACCGAGGCAATTGCGGTGACTCGGTCCGTGCGACCTCGGGAGCTGGCCACGGTGGTGGGCTGCCGGGCGTGGGCGATGCTGGTTTGTCGGCCTGCCTTTGCGATCCCGGACGCCTGCCACCGATGGGCCGGGGCTTTTGCGGGCGAGGGGGCCGAGAAACCGCGGCGCCTCCCTGTCCCCGTGTTGGAGGAGTTGAAGGCCCAGTCATCGCTGGCGCCATCCTCTTCGAGGCGAACCTGGAGCTGGACTGGCACGCGACAGTCTACATGACCGACGCGAGCGACGAGGACTTCGGAGCGGTCGCGGCGAAGTCAAGCGTGGAGGATATCAGGGACAAGCTAGACCGCGTTGCCGAGCAGGTGTCGCAGATTCGAGTAGGGGAGACGCACGCGGAGATAGAGGACGAGGTGAGCAAGGAGGGCCTGGAGGAGGACGAGATGATGCACCCGAGCGAAGGACGTCCTGGCACACTGGCGCTGCAGCAGGGTTTGCTGGACCTGAAGGGGGACCTCGGGGACCAGGTGAGCGCTTGGATGGAGGACGTGCGAATGGGGGAGTTGATGGACGTGGCGTCTTTTCAGCCGCCTGCGGAGGCGGTGGTATTGGATCTGCCACCTCACCTTGTTCCTGGAAACCTTCTCGGACAACTACTACAGGGACTCACGCACGCCCTGGGGTTACGAAGGGCTCAGCGAGGGCATGCAGCGCAAGGTCAACGAGGACAACTACATCGCGCAGGTGACCATCGAGATCGCCAGGCTCGCGGTCCGCGTGGGGCTCGGCTTCGTTATCTTGGGGCCCGTGGCGCTGAAGATGCTGGAGTGGGCGCCCTGGGACAGGCTTACCGAGGCGAGGGGGCGTCTTCTCCCTGGAGGTGGGCGAGCTGGCGGTGCTGACCAACCTGGCGAGGCTCGTGGAGAACGATGGGCTGTGGGACGAGTTCCCGCTGACCTCGGGCGTCGCCGTCAACTATGGGGACGTCTTTCTGGAGCTCTACGCCGCGAGGTTAGAGCAGCTCGACTACGCCTGGAGCGAAGTACCAAAGGGGGCGCAGGTGCGACTGCGACGGGGTCGACCTCGGGTGGTGCGAAGCAGGGGGCAGGTGATGCCCATCGGCGCCTCCCGGGTCGACGAGTCGAGGTGGTACGAGCTCTTCAGGGGACGCTGGGCGACAGAGGAACACAACAATGTGCTGGAGCTGCGGCGCGTGGTGAGCGTGCTGCGGCATCTGGCGAGATCTTCGAGATGCTGGCACAAGCGGGTGGTGATCATGACGGACTCTGTTGTCTCCATGGGCGTGCTGCAGAAGGGGCGCTCATCGGCGACGTCGCTTCTGAAGGCTGGCACGAGTGGCATGTGGCATCGCGCTGGCGCTGGGCATCAGGGGTTACTACCGGTGGGTGCCCAGCCAGTGGAACATGGCGGACGGCCAGAGCAGAGGCGTCGACATCGGCGCAGCGGACGGGACCAAGCAGGCGCACAGGATGAGGACGACGCCCATGGCGGTGCGGCCGCTGCTGCAGGTGCTGGAACGGCGGCGGTGACTCGCGGGACCTTGGCGGTACGTGTGGGGCTCGACTACCTTCTCAGCAGGGAGGCCTCGGCCTCCCAAGCGAGAACGTGGCGGCCTTGGGCGTCTACCTCGGCGACGTGGGTTGCTACTGCCACCACATCGGGAGCGACGGCGACTGCGAGAAGGAGCTGCAGGGCGTCACGCTGGGCCGCCGCGGGCGGCGAAGCTGGCGCGGCTGCGAGGAACGGCGGCAGGCTGTCCCTCTGGGTCGTGCTGGTGGTGATGCTGCGCGTGGTCAACGGAGCTCGAAGGGGGGTGTCTGCGCCGCCGCTGCAGAAGCGCGGCGCACGCGCCTGGCAGCAGGCCAAGCAGGACCGCCCTCGGTGGAACAACAGGTTTGTGGTCCACGCCGTCGATGACTCCACCAACGTCGTCTACGAGCGGGAGGTCAGGGCCTTCCTCGTTGACTGCAAACGCGGGGGGGTGCCGTTCACGACCTTGGAGCAGAGGGACCGCGCGCTGGGGAAATACATCAGCGACCTCTGCTACCTGAGGGGCGACAACTACATGGAGGCCCCCCTCGCCTTCACAATGGCTTCATGCACATCTTCGAGGACCATCGAGGGAGGCTCACAAAGGCGCATCGCGCGTTGAAGTCGTGGGAGCGCATGCAGTTCGGAGGTGAGGGCCACCCGATCCCGTTCCAGGCGATGGGGGTGATCATCACGAGGATGCTGGAAATGGGGCACCTGCCGGAGGCGAGTGCCTGCATCGTGCAGTTGGACGGGTGGCTTCTAGAGCAGGACTGGGAGATGCTGCGGGCCAAGCACGTCAGCTTCACGCCCGGCGGCGGTGGGGGCCTCAAGCTCGGCGGCCGCATGATGGGACAGAAGACCAAGACGGGCGCCAACCAGGGCGCCGTGCTGGAGTGGCCGCTGTCGAGGCTCTTGACGAAGGTGCTGGTCCAGGATCGGGAGCCTGATGACCAAGTCTCCCCCTTCACCCAGCCGGGCTTCCGCAAGGTCTGGATGAAGACGCTGAAGGCGGTGGGCCTGGAGACCATGGGGCCACCGCACGGCATGCGCCACGCTGCGGCAGCCCGCTTCGTGGCGCTGAGCGGCGCCCTGGAGGCGGCGCGTAGGCGGGGCCGCTGGGCCTCCACCGCTGGCCTCCAGCGCTACACCAAGTGACACGCGCTGGTGGAGAAGCTCAGTGAGCTAGACGGCATGCAGATCAAGCAGGGCTGTGCGTTCTGGCGCCGCCCACGACAGGCGGTGCACGACGCCGTCGTGAGAGGGCCAGGCGCTGGGACGCCGCTCGGCAGGCGCATCGTCGGGGCGCTCGCGGCGGCCCGTGGCCGTGAGGTGCCTGTCGTGATGTATAGGTCGACGTAGGCCAGCTCCCTCTCCCCATCTAATGAATATCGAGCCAAGTCTGGTGAGGGGTTCCTTGGGGGGGGGCGTGAGGTTTTGAACAAAGCAAGTTAAGGTTTCTCCGCCTCGCTCTCCCACCCGCCCGTGTCGCCCGTGCTCGGCAATTTTTCTCTTGAAGACCTTTGGCCGGTGGCCCAGTCGGGTCGGCTGGGAGGGGTCGAACAAATTCTGCGGTTTGTGACCCAGGTCGTAGGCTCAGGAACCTGGCCTCGGTCTGAAGCTGTGCTCATGTAGCCAGCTCGAGCTGCGTTCTTTTTCTTGAAGAATTCTGGGGTTGGATGCCCCCTCAGCCCGCGCCCTGGTGCAATATCGTCATGTCAGCATCGATCAGGTGTTGTTGCAATATTTCTGCCAGCCCTCTCGGGCTCTGCTCCGCTTGCCCCCCTCAAGGGTTTTCAACCCCTCCCCCAGACTGGCTCTGAGTATAGCGTTAAGGTGTAAATAGTTGTTCTTGAACTTTATTTTACACTACCCGTCGTAGTCTGTTAGCCGCCCTTTCCCCCTCCGTCCCCCTCTGCCCCTCTGGGCTCAAGTCGGCCCCACCGCACCCTCCCTTTGGGGAGGGGTCGAAAAAGTTCTGCGGTTTGTGACCTAGGTCGTAGGCTCAGGAACCTGGCCTCGGTCTGAAGCTGTGCTCATGTAGCCAGCTCGAGCTGCGTTCTTTTTCTTGAAGAATTCTGGGGTTGGATGCCCCCTCAGCCCGCGCCCTGGTGCAATATCGTCATGTCAGCATCGATCAGTTGTTGTTGCAATATTTCTGCCAGCCCTCTCGGGCTCTGCTCCGCCTGCCCCCCTCAAGGGTTTTCAACCCCTCCCCCAGACTGGCTCTGAGTATAGCGTTAAGGTGTAAATAGTTGTTCTTGAACTTTATTTTGCACTACCCGTCGTAGTCTGTTAGCCGCCCTTTCCCCCTCCGTCCCCCTCTGCCCCTCTGGGCTCAAGTCGGCTCCACCGCACCCTCCCTTTGGGGAGGGGTCGAAAACGTTTTTTGGGGTTTGTGACCTAGGTCGTAGGCTCAGGAACCTGGCCTCGGTCTGAAGCTGTGCTCATGTAGCCAGCTCGAGCTGCGTTCTTTTTCTTGAAGAATTCTGGGGTTGGATGCCCCCTCAGCCCGCGCCCTGGTGCAATATCGTCATGTCAGCATCGATCAGTTGTTGTTGCAGTATTTCTGCCAGCCCTCTCGGGCTCTGCTCCGCCTGCCCCCCTCAAGGGTTTTCAACCCCTCCCCCAGACTGGAGTATAGGGTTAAGGTGTAAACGCTCAATTCAGGCGGCTGCCAAGGGGAGGGAGGAAGGAGGAGAGAGATGCACGGCAGGGGGGCAGTATCCCGTTAATGGGAAGACCCCCTAACAGAGTCGGTGTCGTCCTATGAAGAGGTATGCATCTTCTTGACACGTATGTCTCATCGAATTTTAAGTGCCTATATCGTCGGGTACAGTGTAATCGTTCTATACATTATATCGTTGTGTGCCGTCTTATATCGTAATGCATCGCGTTAGCCACATGAAACCATCTTCCATTGTCTCATATCGCACTACCGCCTAATACCGTCTCAGGCCGTCTGGACGAAATAGGGCGGAGCACCTGCGACCACAATGCCCTAAGCGCTGGACCGCCTCCGCGGGCCATCCGAGAGCGCCCAGGAGGAGGAGCTGGGGGACCTCGCGTGCTCGGCCAGCTGCTCCTCCGCCTGCGCGCGCCAGTGCCTCGCGGACACGTCCGGCGCCCTCTCCTCTCGGGGGGCCCCGATGACGTCCACGTGCTTGGTGAACCTTGGCATCGCTTAACTGATCCCTGTCCCTGCTGTCATGGCCTTGTCCCCACTGGCCGACGTACCCCGCTAGGCGGGAATCGGAGGTTGGGGGGGGGGGGGGGGGAAATCGCAGCTAAACGGAGCCCCCCCCACCGGGAAATCGGTTTCGGTTTCCTGTCGTGGGTGCGGGCGAGGCGAAGCTGCATGGGCGGGCGAAAGGGATGATCCCGCCTTGGCTAAGGCGAATTCAGGCTCAACATCTCTCTTCCCCCCCGGTTGACCTGACCGGCGGTGGCCCGGGAGTGTCCCGCTGGTGTCCGTGGTGTCCCGTAGTGTCCGTTGGTGTCCTGTGGTGTCCCGTGGCGGGGTGTCCCTCGGTGTCCACTGCTAGCCGGCGGAGGTCGATAGTGAGATCGAAAGTGGGATCGATTGGGTGAGATCGATAGAGAAATCAGTAGTGAGATCGACCGCGAGATCGATAGTGAGATCGAACATGAGATCGACGGTGAGGCCGATGGATGGTAAGATCGATAAGAGGGAAATCGATACGGATGTGATTTCCCATGGTTTCCCATGGTGTCTCGTGGTGGTTTGTTGCCTTGTATGTCTTTATGTGATATCTCGCGGTGCCTCATGTCGATAGACCGATAGTGGGACCGGAGATGGCGATAGTGGCAGTGGTGGCATTTACATGCCCACGATTGCTTTGTTGACGAACTCACCGATTGATAGTGACACTGCAAGATAGCTCGTGGGATCCATTGCGAGATCGATAGTGAAATCGCTACGCAGAAGTGGGTCGCCCTGGTGTCACTGATTTGCCTCAGCAGTGCCCTCAGGTGCTCCGCCTGGTGTTTTTTCGATAGCGTCCCGATGGTGTCCCGATGCTACCCCGCTGGTGCCCCAGTGGTCTCACCTGCGTCGTCATCACGCATCGTCGCCGACTCGTGAGCGCTTCCCCGCATCATCGTCAGCATCACAATCGTGGCAACTGCCACCAGTTGCCCCCCACACACACACACACACACACACACACACACACACACACACACACACACACACACAACCTCCTCATCACCCGACGGGTAGTCACAGAGGTATACGATCCAAGGCTCGGGCCCCCCCTCCCGATGCTAGTGGGATCGGGCTGGGTCGGGCCCCCCCCGCTGGATGGATACGCCTGTGAGCCTCGAGAAGGCCTTGCGAATAGGATCGCCCCCTCTCCCGTTATCGTGGCCCTGTGGGCGTGGCGTGGTGAAGGGGGGGTGCCGGTGCCCCAGCCCGTCCCCCTGTGTGGGGTGGTGCTGCGGTGCCGCTGTCGTCGCCGTTGCCGTTGCCGCCGCCGTTGCTGTAGCCGCCGCCGCCGCCGCCGCAGTCGTCGTCGTCGTCGTGGTCATCGTCGTCGTCGTCGTCGGCGTCATCGTCGGCGTCGTCGTCGTCCCCCCCTCCGCATTCCATCTGGGAGGGGGGCCTCGCGGGACCCTGCCCCACCTGAGGGGGAAGGTTGGTGGGCTGAGATTCCCAGGCCCATAGGGGATGGGGAAAGGTCAGGCGATGCTGAGAACCAGTCGCCAACGGCGACGCCCGAGGGCGAGTCGGAGTCCAGGTCCAGCAGATCCTTCTGGGGCACGCCCGAAGCGGTCACGGAAAGCGTGGGGGCGAGACTCGGCAGCGGGTGTCGTCCAAAACCGACGCCAGCCACTGTTGGGCCAGCGACGTCTTTATCTCGAGTGGGCGACATCCGCGACGACGAGGGCAGCGAGTCCTGCTCATGAACCCGGCGCGACCCCAATCAGGGGAGATCTTTCTGATGCATGGGCGCATTACTTGGCATTACTTGGCGTGCCTCGGCGATGTTTGGTGCTGCTTGCCGTTGCTTGCCGTTGTTTGACATTGTCTGGCGTTGCTTGGCGTTGCGTTGCAGTGCTTGGCCCTGCTTGGCATTGCTTGGCAGTGCGTTGCGTTGCGTGGCACTGTTTGGAAACAACACTACCCAGACCCCCGCACTGCTATAAAACCAGCAAGACCAGGCTGCGCGTGGAGCAGAGTCAGGGAACCAAGATCCAGCAGCCCGGAGAAAGCCGCAAGGAGAGAAGACCAAGCAACGCTGGACAGGGGAAACCAGACCAAGCTCAGCCCCGACGCCGAGGAAGGCAACACCACAGAGAAACAACAGCAACCGGACGCAGCCCCGAGGAGCGCCACCTGGCCAGGCGCGGCACCCACCGCGCTTCTCCACGGACAGATACGGCCGGACCCGGGACAGAAGAACGTCCTTCAAGTCGGCGGCGAGCGAGGGGGGGGTAGTGAGAAGGAGAAGGCCCTTCAGAGGGCGGCGGGACTTCTCGGAAGCCCTCGCGCCTTCTGAGAGTTGTTCCGTGCGTTCGGGGCAGGCTCAGAAAACCTCCGAGCCTTCTGAGAAGGCCCGCCCCTCCTTACATACTTCCCCACCGGGCTCGCCGCCGATCAAGAACATGGGACCATCCGCCAGCCAAAACACCCCAAACCATGAGATTACTCGAGGGTGCCCTCCCCCAGGATGCACAAGAACCTCCAACAAGCACGAATGACGTTAGAATACCCTCCCCGAACAGACCTCAATATTATACCTCGGTCCGACCGCAAGCACCCCTTAGGCAAAACCTGATGTGGAAATTATGCGGTCGGAGTTCCCAAAATCAGGATGTTGAGAGCCTCGCGGGATCAGCGGGGCGTATCAGTAGCACCATGGGTGGACGGGTCCATACCATGCAGATGTACGCATGGAAGGGGAGACGAATGCAAGGAGGGGAGGCAGCAAGGAGGACGAGGAAAAAACGCGGTATCCGCATAGCCCGCGCCGTATGGCACGGCCTCCCTGGAGGGGGAAACGTGCTACTGGAAAGGCTAGAGTGTGCGATGGCACGAACGAAGTCTGACGCGTGTCTACCGCGGTATTTGAATAGTCGGCGCCGCCATGCAGGTTCCACCATTGGGACCTTAGGTGGAGCTCCCTATGGGCGCGAGGACACGTGGTAGTGGGAAGGCTGGAGAGGTGGGGAGGGGACGACCCCGGATAAATGAGTATCGTTTATCCGATCCCCATCCCTAGCGGCGTGGCCTGGGCCCCACTGGCCGATTTACACCCCTAGATGGGGATATAGGCCGTTCCCTTCGGGTTTCGAGGGATGTATCCCCGACTGGGGGGGTAATTTTGTGGGGGTCTCGAAGGGGATGGGGATGGGGGTCGCTTAAACGATACTGGATAAATATAACTGTTTGCATATAGACGGCTCAGTCCGACACGGCCTCCCTGGAGGGGGAAGCAGCCTCCCAAAGGGCAAAACGTGGCAGGGGGAAGACCGGAGAGGTGGGGAGAGCGCTCGGTCCGACACGGCCTCCCGGGAGGAGGGAGCGTGGTTTGGGAAAGCTGGGAAAGATCCTCCGACAACGGACACGGTTTGCGCACAGCCCGCTCGAACCGACACGGCCTCCCTGGAAAGGGAAACGGCTTCCATGGAAGGGGAAACAGCCCCCCCAGGTGGGGGAAACGTGGAAGTGGGAAGGCTGGAGGTTGGGAAAGAACGATCTCTGATCCGCCGACCCCTTGTGGCTCTCTAGGCGTGAGAGATTCCTCCCCCCATGGCCTCCCACGGCCCCGGGCCGAACGCGGCACGGGGGGACAAAGGGCTTCTCGACAACTCAAGAGGCCTCCAAGATGCACTCAATACGGTCTCAAAAGGTCCCGAGTCACTGAAAGAGCGTTCCAGGACGCCTGAGATGACCTCCATATGGTCCAAAATCCCTCCCGGACGCCTCAGAAAGTCGCCAAGAGGCCTGCCAACATGGTCCCAAAAGGCCAACACCGTCCAACTCCCCAGGGGAAGCCTACACTTCTAGCATCTGTGATTATTCGGCCTTCGCGGCATTCACGACGGCCCAGGAGGCCATCCAGACCGCCCCACGACACTTCCAGGAGAGCCCCAAGACGGCCGAAGAGGCAACAAGACGGCCCGAGATGCGCCCAAAACAGCCAGAGAGAGCGCCCAGGCGGCCCCAAGAAAAGCTCAAGACCGGGAGCTTGAACCAACAATTTGAAAGTTCCGCCCCAAGCTGCACCCACGAACCCCAAAAAACATTACCTTGTGACTTACCCAAACATCTGCATCAAGTGACAAGAGAATTGGCCCAAACTTGCCAGGACAATGACAGCGCAGGCGCCGTTATATGTTGTGGAAGCTACATGGGATGCGCTCACGTGGCACGATTCACGGAACAACAGCAAAAGGACGAGGAGCGAAGGCTCAGGCTTGAGGAGGACATAGGGCGGGAACGAATTGCAGGATAAGGACTCGCGGTGGGCCGAACCGTCAGCGCGGCAGCAGCAGGAGGAATGTGGCAGGGGGCAAGGACGACGACGAAAGTATCGGGAGGAGACCGAAGAGTGTTGCATTTGTCGGTAGTACCCTGAACATCCAGCACAGCCTGCGCCGTGTCGCCGCGGCGCTCGAAAAACAATTAACCTGCTTATGGGTAGTGCAAAAAGCGAGCGAGGCCTAGCTCGCCCGCCAACTTCGCAGCCTCCCAGGGATGGCGAAGTCCCCTGGTGGTCCGCGTAAGACGACACTCCGCTGGACCCCACAGCAGCCCTCGAAAGTGGCGACGACAGTTTCGCAGATCGCGGCCACACAGGGACGGCGAGGTCTCATCTGAATCTGGGTAAGACGTCACTCCGCTGGACCCCACAGCTGCCCTCGAATGTGGCGTCAGTTTCGCAAATCGCAGCCCCCCCCGAAGGATGGCGAGGTCTCATCTGAAACTGGGTAAAAAGTCACTCCGCGGGAACCCTCCAGCCAAACTCGAAAATAGCAGCAGTTTAGCAGATCGCAGCCCCACCGGGATGGCGAGGTCTCATCTGAATCTGGGTAAGACGTCATCCCGCTGGACCCCACAGCAGCCCTCGAAAGTGGCGCCAAATTTCACACATCGCCGCCCCACAAGGATGGCGAGGTCTCGTCCGAGACTGGGTAATACGTCACTCCGCTGGACCTCCCTGCAGCCCTCGAGTGTGGCGACTGCTTCGCAGATGGCAACCCCACAAGGATGGCGAGGTCCCATCTGAATCTGGGTAAGGCGTCACTCCGATGGACCCCCCAGCAACCCTCGAAAAAGGCGACAGCTTCGCAGATCGCACGTCCGCGAGGGATGGCGATGCATCATCTGAGTCTGGGTAAGACGTCAGTCCGCTCGACCCCCAAACAGCCCTCGAAAGTGGCAACATTCTCGCAGATCGCAGCCCCTCACGGATGGCGAGGTCTCATCCGAGACTGGGCAAGACGTCACTCCGCTGGACCTAGCAGCTCTCGAAGTGGCGACAGTCTCGCAGATCGCAGCCCCACAAGGACGGCGACGTCTCGTTTGAGTATGGGCAAGACGTCACTCCGCAGGAACCCCCAGCAGCCTTCGAACGTGGCGACAGTTTCGCAGATCGCAGCCACACAAGGATGGCGATATCTCGTTTAAATCTGGGTAAGACGTCACTCCGCTGGGCCCACCAGCAGCCCTCGAATGTGGCGACAGTTTCGCAGATCGCAGTCCACCAGGAATGGTGAGGTCTCATCTGAATCTGGGTAAGGAGTCACCCCGCTGGACCCCCCACCAGCAGCCCTCGAAAGTGGCGACAGTTTCGCAAACCCCATCCCCGCAAGGACGGCAAGGTCTCACCTGAATCTGGTTAACGTCACTCCGCTGGCCCTCGAAAGTGAAGACTGTTTCGCAGATCGCAGCCCCCGCCCTCCCGGATGGCGAGGTCTCATCTGAATCTGGGTAATACGTCACTCCGCTGGACCCCCTCCAATCCTCGAAAGTGGCGACTGTCTCGCAGATCGCAGCCCTTCAGGGATGGCGAGGTCTCATTTGAATCTGGGGAAAAAACGTCATCCCGCTGGACCCCCCCTCGAAGATGGCGACAGTTTCGCAGATCGCAGTCCACCAGGGATAGCCAGGTAGGAGGCATGCTGGCACGCAGGAAGGAGCGAGGTGAGAGGCAAGAGATAAGAGGAGAGGAGGGGGGCGGAAGAAAGAGAAGACGCGCGGGCAGCGCTCGATTCAAAACAAATACCCAATGCAGGATGCTTGGGGAAAAAATTAAGTTTGCGAGAGACCCCCAAGAGGCCTCCAAAACATCCCCACAATATCTCACACAAACCCAACAAACCTCAAAACTGCCTCCACCACGCCCCACACATGCCTCATAATGCGGTCCTACAGCAGCGATCTGGAGAGCCCCTGGAAGCTTCGCCGGCGACCCTGACCCACAACCCAGACACTGTGGCGAGACGGGCCGAAGGCAATTCCATGTGTGGCAGCGTGGGAATCCGCAGAAAGCCGTCCCTCCTCCTCCTCTTGCTCGTCCCTCTTCCCCATCCTCCTCCTCCTTCTCCTCCTCCTCCTCCTCATCATCATCAACATCATCATCATCATCCTTCGCCTTGCCGCGTTCTGGTTCTCACAATCCTTGCCCTCCCCCATTCGCTCTCCTTCCACGCCCTTCTCGGACTTGCATTTCAGGGTGCCGTTTTGTTTGGCGCGTGCGCCACAATCAACCTTCACGGAGATGGCCGATTTTGGCACGTGCAACTGCCCTGAAAGGCCGCGCCGTGAAATCCAGATTCGCGCAATCCGCGCACACCACGCGCTTCTGCTTTGACTTCTGATGTTCTTCTACTTGTCTGTTCTTCAAGCGTTTCGCGTCCGAGAAATCTTCGCCGTAGGGAGCGCGCGTCAAGTTTCGCTCACGCCGCTGCGCCGCATTGGCCACGCATTTCGCGGCGAGCCCCTGTTTATTACATGCCCCACAAAACAGTCCGGTTCCCTGCGCCGACCGATGCTTCGCCACTTACTTGCGGCTCAAACAACCCGTGGCCCAGAAAATCTTCCACCAACCTGGCGCGCAGCAAGTCAGCGGGTTCGACTTCGCTTCCAGTCTCCGTTTGCGATTGTTTGGCTCAAGTGTCAACTTCTGGCGCTCCTTCGCGCATTTCCGACGAAGCCTCTGAACAGATGCATTGTGTTTCCTCTGCGTTTCTGGCATTTCTGTCTTTTCTTCGACGAGCGACAGGCACGCGTCGCCCGAGCATCGTATTGTGCCACCCTCGTTCCACCTCGCTCTGCCACGGCGCGAAATCCGTGTGTGTGTGTACACTGCTGCACTTCACGCGACACGTGGTCCGAACAACTTTCAACTCCTCCGCGTCGCCACCTTCCGCGTCGCCCTGGTCTCGGGGATGGACAGACCCCCCTTTAGTAAAACGTGGTTTAGTGAGAACGACCTGAGGCCCAAACCTGGCGGGCGCAAGCCTGGAAAATAACGGCCACGGCGCCCTCTCGAGAACCGAAAACGGACAATTCACTAATCGACGTGTCACTGTTGGGGGTTCTGTCCACCTCCGAACCTTCCGCGTCGCCCTGGTCACCACCGTGCCGCGCGGGTCCGTCGCCCTCCGCTGGCGCGGACCGTGCTCTGCATGTTGTGCACCATCTCCGTTGCAAAGTTTGCGCTTCCGCGTCACGAGCCTCCAAGACGGCCCGGGCGAGCACGCACGGTTACCAAAAGGGCCCAAGATTGAAGGGGCCCTGAGACACACAAATCAATACACACAAATAAAAATATTCCCCATATTTTCCGATATTTTCTGTGTTTTTGTCTTCCCCCCCACTTCCCATATTTTCGCATATTTTCTGGGGAATCGCCGATTAATTGTGTCTGTGTGTTTCTTTCCCTCCTGAAAGATGCCTGTCACACGCGCCCAGATATTCCCGAAGCGGCCAGATATGGCCTGCAGGCAGGCCAAAAGGTGCCAGCTGAAGGGCCCAAAAGAGCACCAAGAGGACCTCCAACCTGGAACGACGAAGAAACAAAATCATTGATCTCCCTTGGGTGTTCGAATGATTTTCGGCATCTGCCCGACACGGCGTGAAGCCAGCCCCACGGCGGCCCCCAGGCACTCACCATGCTGCCAAGAAGGCATGGAGACGGTCCGAGAGAGCCCCGCGACAAGCACGCTCGACACCCCACGACGCCCCAAGAAATGCCCAGCGGAGGGCACTTCAATTACAAAGCCGTTTGGGGAGCACTGCAATTTCGAAAACGCAGTGCGCACGCGGGGAAGAACCAACCATAAGTATGCTTCATGTTGGCAATCCAAAATCGACGCGCGACGACCAAACAACAAACACGAAGCACGATAACAACAACGAGGCAACAAGAACGATGTCGAGCGCCGCGTCATCATTCGGACAAGACTCGTGACATGTAGTCCGGGGAGCGCCGTAATTTGGGCCGGCGGATGTTGCGCAAGCCCAAAGAATGAATAACACGGCTTGGGCATGCCCCGTTCGGTCGAACACGGCCTCCCTGGAGGGGGACACGGCCTTCCAGGAGAGGGAAACGTGGTTTGGGAAACCTGGAGAGGTGGGGAAGGGACGATACCGCACGGTTTGCTTTGCGCATATCCCGTTCGGTCCGACGCGGCCTCCGAGGAGGAAACAGCCTCCAAGGAGGGGGGGGGAAAGGTGATAGTGGGGGGGCTGGAGAGGTGCGGAGGGCACGATCCATTATCAATCACACGCTTTGCGCCTAGACACCTCGGTCCAACACGGCCTCCCTGGAGGAGGACCTCCCACGAAGGGGAAACGTGGTTTGGGACGACCTTTCATAAATAACACGATGTTTCGAATATCCCGCTCGATCCGACACCGCCTTCCAGGCGGAGGTGGAAGATGCAAGGGAGAAAATGTAGGAACCGAAGGAGGCGGGTGAAGGAAAAGGGGGACATGTTCCAAGAAACCAACACAAAACTCAGGATGTGAAGAACAAACCGACAAGAACTGCTGTCGGCCTTAATGTTTCCGTGACCATTTCGATCGTCCCTGCCTTGTCCTTGCCCTCCTTGCTCCGCAGCCAAGCCGCGAGGTGCCCGGTTCCATAACCCGGCGGCACGGTCTGGGCGTTCATCGCCCACACCTTGTCGGTGGCTGCCGCGGGCATCATCGTCGCGGTCGGCGGCCCGCAAGGTGGCCAGAATCGGCGCGTGGCGGCGCGCGACAGCGCGCCTCCAGCGCGATTTGGGCCAGAATGGTTGATGGTGATGGTGATGGTGATGGTGATGGTGATGGTGATGGTGATGGTGATGGTGATGATGATGATGATGATGATGATGATGATGATGATGATGATGATGATGATGATGATGATGATGATGGTGATGCTGATGTAATGATGACGAGGCTGATGATGGTGATGCCGACGACGATGGCGGCGATGCCGTCGATGCTGGCGGCGATGCAGGTGATGGTATGATGATGATGACGATGACGACGCTGATGATGATGATGATGACGATGACGATGACGATGACGATGATGATGATGATGATGATGATGATGATGATGATGATGATGATGATGATTATGGACATGGTGGTGATGATGATGGCAATGGGAGTTATGATGTCGATGGTGACGGTGATGGTGATGATGCTGCCGGTGGTGATGGTGGAGGCACTCGTGATGCGGATGTTGACGATGGTAGCGTTGGAAACAATTGATGCTGACTATAACGATGATGAGGGTGCTAATGATAATCATGACGATGATGAGAATGATGATGTCACTGGTGAAGATGGTGATGCTGTGTGATTCTGGTGAAGATGATAACGATGATGGCGATGATGCTGATAAGGAATACGCTTCAGATCAAGACGATAATTCAAATGATGCTGATGATGATGATGACTTTTATTAAAAATATCAAAAAACGGACCGATGATGGCGGGAATTAACAAAGCAATGATGTACATTAGTCCCTGGTGCAACCTGGGCCCGTACTAAAAAGTTCACGTGTGCGAGCTCCGTGAGAGAGAGAGAGAGAGAGAGAGAGACCGGATGTTGGAGGGAGGGGGGGAGGGGACAACAGATCAGCAACTGAGCCAGTGGCCAGAAGTCTGGGTCACTCGAGGACCCTCGGCCAAGGGACGCATTCGGCGCGCGGCGAAAGAGAGCGGGTGCCTTGAAAAGGCCAGCTGAGGGCACGGCAATGCACACCCTGGCTTGCACAGAATGTACAGAGCATCATGCCGTCCGCAGAGTAAAGACTGACTCGAACTCGTACTCAGGTCAAGTCCAAAGAGCGGGCTGAGCAGAGAGAGGCTTTCGGGGAACCTCGGGTCGAGGACCACCAACCCGCGTTCGATGCCAAGCAAAGCGCGGCGCCATGATGATGATGATGATGATGATGATGATGATAATGATGATGATGATGATGATTATGATGATGATGATGATGATGATGATGATGATGATGATGATGATGGTGATGATGGTGGTGATGATGATGATGATGCCGATGATGACGAAGCCCGCAGTGCGCAGCTCCAATTCGCGCCACCCAGGGCCCGCGCCCGCTCACGCGCAGGCAGGGTCTAACCTCACCACCCCGCGGCAGTCCTCGGCTGGGCAGGAGCGATCCTCATCACATCGCCGTCGCCCGCCTCCGCGCAACCTCGAGCGGCTCCTCTGGTGCAGCAGCAGCGGCAGGGGCTCCCCCAGCACGAACGATGCATGATGATGGTGACGGCGACGCCTCACAGTGACGATGACGGTGATGTCCCAGGCGAAATCAAGGCTGGGAAGAAATCTCACACCAAACACTGCTTTCCGCGAATAACGCTTGGGGCACGGGTGGACTTGTCAGGAGCCGTGTGAAGACAACGGTAAAGACACCTCGAGGTAAACCTTGTTTGGGGATTGGACCCCTGCGGAAAATTGCTGAGGATCCGATGACACCGCTTTCTGGGGGTGACAAGGCATGCGAGGTGTCTGGTTGTCCCCATTGACCCCCCCGTGTTGCGTCCCCCTCGGGGTCCAAAACCCTCAGTGATGATAAACTGGGGAAGATAAAATCGCCAATGCACCTCGTGAGCCTCCCGAAGCGGCTCACCGAGACGGAGGGGCCCTCAGAAAGTGCCCAACATAGCCCCACTGAGTGCCAAAACACCACGAGATGGCCTCCAACACTGCTCCCTGTTGGCCCAAGATGACCATGATGCTCCCTGCTGGCCGAAAATGGCTCCACTATGGTCAAAGGAAGCCCTCGACAAGCAAGAATCACTGCGAGGCAAGACTGCCGCTCGTTTGATTGATTTTGGCCCTTCGCCAATACTCTTTGAGATGGGCTTCAAAACCCTCCACGGTGGATCAAGAGGCGAACAGAAGCGGTCCGCTGACCGGCCGCGGCGGGCCAGCCCCTGAAGGCGCATGGAAGCGCGCATGTAGACCGAATGAAACGGGTAATATAGAAACATTCTGGGTCATACTCAGCCGATGAGAACATGCAGCGGCTGAATACGTCGCTAACGCGACAGAGCTTCCCGTCCCAGGGCGAAAGACACAGAGACAAGGCAACGGAGTTCAGGATACAGCGGTACCCCAGGCGGCGACAGGGAAGCCCAACAAGGGCCCAAGAGGAACACAACAGGGCCCCAGCGGAGCCCCAGCAGGACCTGAGGGCCCAAGGACAGCTCAAGAACGTCTCACCAAACCTCCAGGAGCATCACAGACAGGCCCAAAGGGCGCAGGCGGGCACAAAGAATGCCTGGAAGAGATCCCGAAAGGGGGAGCCACGAGAAAAGCCCAAAATATAGATCTGGGGCCAGAGAAGCCTGAAGCAGGATCCAGTAGTCCCGAATGCCGAAACGAGGCCCAAAATAATCACATGAAATGCCAAACAAAGATCGAGTACACGCGAACGTCGGAGCCCTTCGTGCCTCCTGGTGCTCTGACGCCCCGGCGTCCTCACCCTCGCCCTCCCTCTTTGCGCCACAGAGCTAAGGAAACTCTGAAACACCCCAGAAACTGTTGGCTCTACGATGGCGCGGCCAACTACGGCCCACGGATGCAGGACACGGGTGCAAGACTTCACGCCTGGCGCATGAGGGGCATCAGGGCGACCAAAGTTGTTGCACCGACTGTATCAGTTGTATGCCATCAGTGTCAAAAAAACCGTTGGTGTGGGTGTTGCGGTGCTGGGCGCAGTATCGTTGGTGATCACTGTAGTGTATCAGTCGCGGCCCAGCGTTCGAGTAGTGTCTGAACCCGCAATGAGTTGCGTTGTGGCGTACACTCTTGCGTGATGCTTACATGGATGCCTTTCCGTGTCTGTTGTGTTGTGCGTCATGTCAAGAGTAGACACTGGATTCCGCTTGTTGTTTGCACTCATTCTTGATCGGCGATATGGTTGTTCTTGCATGCGGCCCGGCTGTTCTATCACGTTTCGCAATTTCGTTTGCTCGCCTAGCATAGATCTTGGAATACTGACCAGAATACAAAAGCTTGCAGATGAAAGCGAATCTACAAAACCAACTCTACAGGATGATGTTGTTCCATCGATGTTACGTTTTCGCCCGCTCGCCATTGCCGCTTCATTGTCCGATTTCCCCTCCAAAAATACCAAGAGGCCCCAAACATGAACGAAACGCCATCATACACAATCTGGCATGACGTAAATTCGCGGGGGGAGAAGTGTTTCACCGCGAGCGGCAATCGTCTCATGCGTTTCGTGGGTTGTTTTTTGGTTGTCGGCTGGTTCAAACTGTTTTCGTCGCGCGTTCACTAGCGCTTCTCAAATGTAAAACCTGCTGCGTTTGTGATTACTGCTTCCCTTTCGGATTGTACTGATCCCGTGAATGTGCGATGGTGTTCCCAATGTTTCGTTTCTCGTTCGTATGTGTGTCTAGCTTGCCGTTGACCGTCACTGCGTTGTTTCGCTGGCTCGCCCTCCCGCCACCACGACCTGCTACTCGACGTTTTCGGACATGCCGGCGAACATGCGACAAAAAACAATACGGAACCAACGGCAATGGTAATCACACAAATGCTGCGTTTGTTTGCGCGGCCCTTGGCTTCATAGCTCACCCCCACCGCTCGGCGAAATCGCCCCCCTTCCACCAAGGATAGATATCGATAATCTAGGTAAGCGGTTGGGGATCGAATTCGGATGGGGGATGACAGAACAGCTTCGCCAGCCCCTCGGTCCTCAGAATAGCGACCCACACAAAGAGCTCGACCCACGGAAGTCTGACACTTCGGGTTGGTCCCCGGGCCGCGTGGAAGGCCAGGGGGGCCCGACGGCTGTCAAATCGGAGCGGCGGGGGTGACCATTCGGACTGGTCGACGGCACCCCGTACCCACTGGCGCGGGCGTTTTGCAATCTTGGGGGGCGGAGCTGACGGGCGATGGCGAAAACAAAAACGACGGCGGACTCTGGATGGCAGAAGGGGGGGCTCTGCGTGGACGTCCAGGATTGCTGGGCGACTACGGACGACGACGAAGGCGGACTGCGGATGGCAAGGTGGGGACGGGGTGCTGCGCGGGCGTTCTGCAGTCCCGGGGGGCGAAGTCGACGACGACGAAAGCCTTTTGCGGACGGCGTTGCGCGGGCGTCCTGCCGCCCCGAAGGACAGGGCAACGACGACGGCGACGACGACGGCGGCCTGGTGCGGATGGCATGGAGCAGGGGGGGCGGGGCTGCGCAGGCGGCCCTCTGCGGATGGCATGTAGGGTGGGTGGGTGGCGGTGGTGGGGGGGGGGGCCCTTTGGCCCTTCCCAACGCACGCGCGAACACACGCACGCGCGCACGCGCGTACGTAGGCACGTGCGTCTCGGACCTTCCGCGCACGAGCGTGCCCTGCAGGCGCGCGCGCCTCGCTGGGGCTCGTCCTCTTCGGGGCGGCGCCCGCCACCTCGACTCGCGATGCTGAAGAAGGCTCCGCGCGGGGGTCCTGGCTGATGGCCTATCCCTGCGCGCTGGCAACTCAGCGGGCGCTGCGCCACGGGGCCCACTGCCACCCCTGGCCCGCGCCCTGCCCGGAACGGCTGCGCACGCTCGCAAGCGCACCCCACGAGCGCGCGCCTAGCTAGTTACCAGCCTGGAACAGATCCCATGTCTCTATGCTGGGCATCGCCCCATCACGATGCCAAGCTTAAGGATTCCCT